TAAGACATGCGACTACTATTAAGGATCCAAGCGGTCCTTATTTATTATTCATGCGGCCGCGTGATTTAGGGGCAAACGGGTCCGCGGAGGCTCGGCTCTGCCGCCTCTACCCTGGCTGCTTCCCCTTCGCGCCGCTCCCCACCTCCTAGCACCCCCACACCTGCCCGCATGCGCAGGCGCATCTTCCCCGGCGCCCTGGGGTCTGGGATCCGGCTGCGGTCACGCCTCCTACACCCGCTCTGCGCCCTGCTGCAATCTCCTAATACCAGGAGGAAGGTTCGGGGCTGCCCGAGTCCGCGTGCAGAGGCCTGTCCCCAGCTCTGTTGCCAACCCTGCCTGGAGATCCCTCTTTTGCTCCATCACTTCCTTCTGTCTTGTTTTCCTTCCCTGCTCTTTCCCCGGGTCGGGGACTTCAGAAGACAAGGAGAACGGAATCCCAGCGGGATGCAGTTCAGTGGACAGATTGGGAGAGTTGGGAGGGGAGGGGGCTATGCCTGCCTCACTTGCTGTGCGACCCTAGGCAGACCCCTTGCCTTCTCCGGATCTCAGGGACCTCTCTAAAACTAGAGGTTGGAGTGAATCCCCTAAAGTTCTTCAGCTTTTTGAGGGGGGTTGAGGCGGAAGTAAAATGTCCATACAGTGAAATGCACAGATCTTACTGATAGAAGCCTTGAATACTGATCAATGTACACATCCGTGAAATCACCACCCCAATCAGGATACAGAGCTTTCCCTACCCCATCAGCTTTCTTGCACCTTTGCAGGCAGGAAGCTCCCTCTCCTACTCCCAAAGGCAACCATTGCCCTGAGTGCCTTTGCCATAAATTAGTTTTGCTTGTTCTTGAACTTCATATCAATGAAATTGTACAGACAGGTACTCCGTTGTTATCAGTAGCCTGTTCATGTTATTGCTGAGTAATACTCCACTGTATGACTGTCACAGATCCATTCACCTGATGATGAGCGTGCAGGCTGTGTCAGTGTTTGGCTATCATGAATGATGGTAGCTTCTGTGAACAACTGTATATGGGTCTTTTTGTTTTTAAGTAAATACTTAGGAGTGAAATTTCTAGCTCAAATTATAAGCATGTATTTGGTTTTGACAGCAACTTTTAAACTGTTTTCCAAAAGGTTGTATTTGTGCTCTCATTGGCTAAGTTAGTTTTCTGGTTGCTCCACATCTATGTTAACACTTGGAATTGTCAAGCCTTTAAATTTTAGCCATTCTATTGAGTGTAGTGGTGTCGCATTGCAGTTTTAATTTTCACTTCCCTTATGACTAATATTATTGATTACCTTTTCAGGTAATTATTGACCATTTGTGTATTTTTTCTTCTGAAGTATATATTTTGCTCATTGTTGGGGGGATTGTTTATCTTTTTGTTACTGATTTTTAGGATACAGTTTTATATTAGAAAGATAAAGCCAGGTGTGGTGGTGTGCGCCTGTAGTCTCAGCTACTCAGGAGGCAGAGGCAGGAGGATCATTTGAGCCTAGGAGTTTGAGGCTGCAGTGAGCTATGATTGTGCCATTGCACTCCAGCCTCTGAGACAGAGTGAGACGTCTGTATTAAAAAAAAAAAAAAAAAAAAAAAAAGACGACAGGTTCTTTGCTAGATATGTGTATTGTGAATATTTTCTCCAAATTTGTAGCTTGCCTGTTAATTAACAGTATCTTTTGATAAGCAGTTTTTAACTTTGATAAAGTCCAGTTGATGAGCATTTTCTTTCAGTTCATGCTTTCTTGTGTCCTCTCAAACTAATCTTTGCCCAGGAATGTATTTCTCCTATAATTGCTTGTAGAAGCTTTATAGATTTAGCTTTCGTGCTTCATCTTGAATTAGTCTCTGTGTGGTGTAAGGTAGGAGTTGAGTTTTTTTCACATACATTTATTCAGTTGTCCCAGCACTAATTGTTGAAAAGCCTTTCCTTTTCATATCGAATAACCTTGCTGCCTTTGTCAAAAAACAACAACAACAAAAATCAGTGGATTCTCTATCTGTGAGTCTGTTTCTGGACTCTATTTTGATTTGTTGATCCATTTTTCTGCCCTTGTGCTGGATCTCACTGTCTTGATTACTGTACCTTTAGAGTAATGTTTAAAATCAGGTAGAGTGAATCTTCTTTTTAAAGATTAATGAGGTTATCTAACATATGTCCTTTGCTTTTCCATATAAATTTTAGAATCGACTTGTCAATTACTACTGAAGGTCTGTTGAGACATCAGCTGGGATCCAAATTTTTCCACAAGTCACTTTACAAAGGGTCTCAGGAGACGACCTGGCTTCCCTATCCCTGGTTTTGGTGCCCGACCCTGTCAGTTTGGCCCAAGCTCCAGGCCTGGCACCCTGAAATTCACTCTGAAATTGCCACCCTCAACTATCCCTTCTGCTAACATAATATCCTGAAAAATCACTATTTCACCCAGGATATTGTCCTTTGATGGAAACCAGCCCAGAATGAAGGCTAGGGTACCCAAAGACCCGGAATCTCACACCCAGCCCGGAGCCTGGAGTGAGAGCGCAATCTAGTCCCGGGGTAAAAAAACAAGCGGCATTGCCTGGGTTGAAATGTTATTATCTCTGGGATTTGCTTCAAAATGATTGGGGGAGGGTGAATGGCAAAATGGATGAAACAAAATGGATCATAAACTGATCGTGATCGAAACTCGTGATGGCTGCAGAGGGCTCTTTATATTATCAGCTCTACTTTTGAATATTTGCAATTTGTATGGTAAAAATTTAAAAAATATGCCCTCTCCAATGAGGCAATCTCCTCCCTCCCTCCCATTATTTCCCCTAAGCCAGGGCCTGGGCCCTGCTGCTCTCTGGCTAATGACAACCCCGTGGCCATCTGCAGCATCCCCAGTGGCTGCTCCGTCCCCATGCCCAGTGCATCACGGAGCAGACGCTGACCCTGTGGGGGCGTGACCTGGCTGTGCAGTTGGCCGTATCTGGGCGTCTCTTGATGTGGCGTCGGCAGGTGGGTTTCCACATCACCTCAAATGATTTGTAAGATGATTGAACTAGAACAGCTGCCACCCACAGCCCAAGGCAGGGCCCCAGGCCAGCCCCAAGCAGCGACAGCCAGTGTGGCTGGACACCGAGAGCAGGGAGGGGGTTTCGGGAGAGGAGGTCAGAGAAGGGGGCAGGGAGGGGAGCACACTGTGGAGGGCTTCGGGCTGTGGCTGGCCTTCAGCTTTTACTAGAAGCGAGGAGGGCCCCCTGGAGGAGGGCTTGGGGTGGAGAAACAGCAGCATCTGCCCTGTGTTGGGAGAGGCGCCTGGGACTCAAATGTAAACTGCTGGATGGAGGCAGAGAGATGGGTAGGAGGCTGCCCTGGCCATCCAGGTTGGATGTGACTGACGCAGGCTTGCACCAGGGTGGAGGTGGTAGAGGTGGTCTTTTGACCACTTTTTGTGGTCTGGTTGGGGATGAATGTCAAGGGCATTGTTTCCTTATGGGTGAGAAGTGAATTGAGGGAGAAAGGGAGATGTCAAGGATAGCTCCCAGGTTTTGGCCTGAGCAGCTGGGACAATGGAGTTCTGTGGGAGAAGGGTTTAGGGAGGACAATCAGGAACATGGTTGTGGCCATGCCGGGTGTATGGTGCTCGGTGCACAGTCACGGGGAGCTGTGGAGTGGGTCACTGTGTGTGTGGGCTTGGAGACAGGGAGAGGCCAGGGCTGGAGGCTGACCTCAGGGACTCAGCCATGTGATGGGATTGGAAGCCATAACACAGGAAGGGGTCACCTGAGGAGTGCGTGCAGCTGGAGATGTCTGAGGCCTGAGCCCTGGGCACGTAGAGGTTTTAGGATGAGAAGAGGAGGAACCAGCAAAGGAGGCCAAGGAGGATGGTCAGGGGGTTGGAGGATAATCGAGCATCTCGGAAGCCAAGCAGAGGCAGTGTTTTCAGGAGGAAGGCATGAATGACTGCATCAAGTGCTGGCTAGAGACAGATATGAGTGGACTGAAGGCCAGCCACTGGACTGGGCAACAAAGAGGTCACAGGAGACCTTGACCGAGGGCACTTCGGTGTGGTGGCCGCACGGAGACCAGAGATAAAGCCTGGTAAGAATGGGGGCCAGAGAGGATGCGGGACCCCTCCTCCATCCCCTCAGCAGTCATTCCAGATTGTTCCGATGTCCCCAAGGACCCTCACTCCCCATGCCTCCACTTGCTCTCTGGAACCCGTCTCATCTCACAGTTAATGGACAGAACAGAAACCACAGGTCAGAGCTCCCCACCTGCCTCCACCAAACTTGCACATCTCTTGGATGCACAGCCTCTGCCCTGCCTCCCCCGGCCTCAGAGGAATGAGGGTCTCTGCTCCTGCAGAGCGCTTCCTCTGCCTGTGCCCACAGCCCCATTTCATCTCACCTCCCCAGCAGCCCCCTCCACCGAGAGCCCTCCTCTTCCGGGGTCCCCAGCCGCCTCCACCACCCTGGCACATCCCGCCACGAAACCTTATGCTATCCCACCTCTTAAAATTTCCCTGGGAGCTAATTTCTTTTTTCATCAAAGCTCTCAATTTCTTTACTCTGCCAACTTTCTTAAAATAGCCTACATGGGACCCCTTCGCGAGCTCGTGGCCTGGTGAGGGTCACCCTGGGGAGGGTGGTGGGGGTTATAGGTGCTGCCCCTGAACTCATTTCCCCAAAGTGACACATTTGCAGACAAGAGGTGCACAGAAGGCACCAAAAAGCAAGGCCTGGTTTAGAGGTCTGCTCCCTCGGTGGAGCATTCGGTGGTCTGCGCGTCGCGGCCCTCCACCAAATCTTTCACCCACTGCAATCGAACCTTGTCTCCGCATCTTCATTGAAGACATCTAGAATGCTGCTTCCTCCATTCCTCTTTCTCTCCTATGGAGAATGGAGGAGGCTGCACGAGACGGGAGGGTGGCTACCTGGGATGCTCCCCACCCCCACCGCCAGAGACCAGAACTGCCTGCCACGGTCACAGCCCAAACTTGTCTGGCTGGAGTAGTTTGTAAAACTGCATGGGTTAAGATGAGAGGTTCTTAAGCACGGCTGTCAACAGGGCAAAGGAGGCGGTGGCCCTTTCGATGGTGCTGGCTACCTGGATGCAGGTGAACATTCAGATTTAACTGAGAATCTTGCAGTACTAGAGTTTGCACCAAAGAAGGAAGCCGGGTGTCATCTCTGAACACCCGGGATGAGCCATGGAATTGCAGGTCCAGAGCCCTGGCCCTCAGCCTCATTACTCACACACCCCAAATTGAGGCCTCCTTTCCTGCTCGGTCTTCTCCCCTTCCCTGGAGGAGGCCGGGGCTGCACACAGCACACTGCACCCCCAGCTCCAGTCTGGAGAGAGGAGTTGAATATTCAGTATCTGGGGAGACAATAAAAGTTCCAGGAAGAACCTGGCTAAGGCAATTACCTCTGCATAAATGCATATATTATTCATCCGTGGCTTTGAATATATAAATAATACTGATACAATTTGCATGCGTTAAAAGGAGATGTAATTACCCACCGACGCCTGTGAGCGCCTGGTACCCACCGGCCACTTCCCAGGCCTGCTGCCCCACCCCCAGTGGCCCACCTTTGCCCTTCCAGAGGCAGAATACATTGCATATGGGTTTTCTGCAGTTATAAGGAAGCCAATCTTTAATGTCTCTGGGGGTTTGGTTGGACTGTGCCTTTTCAAGAACCTGTGGGCTGCTTTGCTGCCCAACTCGGTTCTGGAAACTTTGGACCATTTTAATATGATTATAATAATTGTTACTTTTAAAATCACATTTTTAGTTACAAAATAATGCATGATTATTATGTAAAATTTGGAAAATACATAAGTTTTGAAAATGAAAACAAAACTCATTCATTATCTCACCACCCAGACATAACCACAGTCTGTATTTGTCTTATTTTCTACCAGTCTTATTTTGCTAGGCACAGATAAACTTTTTTTTACAAACTTTGGATTATATTATACATAATATTTTGCAACCTGCTTTTATCTTTTATAATATGTCATAAATAGATGAAGAAATAGAAAAGGCAAATAAATTTGAAAAGACACTCAATCTCACTAGTAATTAAGGAAAATGCGAATTATAATAACAGTGAGACATAAATTTTTGCCTATCACATTGTTAAAGATTTAGAATAATGATAATCCTCACTGCTGGTATATGCATGCAGAAACAGGCTTTTCCAAACAATCTTTGCTGGGAGGAGTGTAAATTGGAGTACTTTTTTGAAGGATAATCTAGCGATATGTACCAGAAGGCTTAAAAATATGCATGCCTTTTGGCCTCCAAAATTCCACTCCTTAGCATTTAAATAACCACAAAGACAGGTGAAAATATAACAATGCAAATCACACTGTTTTATCATGGCAAAAAATTAGAAACAACTCTAATAGGCCATGGCTGGGAATTAGTGTAATAAGTTCTGATCTCTCTATAAAGCAGAATCCATGCAGTCAATTACAATGAATGCGCGCGCGCACGCACGCACACACACACTCAACCTATACAATGATGGGTAAAAAGGTGCTCCCAAAATACTATGTTGTGACTTGTGGTTAAATACGGTAGGTTAAAAAAATGTTTATATTTCTGCTACCCCGTGAAACCCCACTAAAATAAAAGAGACAAAAATGCATAAACCCAGCCAGGCTCAGTGGCTCATGCCTGTAATCCCAGCACTTTGGGAGGCCAAGGCGGGCGGATCACAAGGTCAGGAGTTCGAGACCAGTCTGGCCAGCATGGTCAAACCCCATCTCTACTAAAAATACAAAAAATTAGCCGGGTGTGGTGGTGTGCACTTGTAGTCCCAGCTACTCAGGAGGCTGAGACAGGAGAGTTGCATGAACCTGGGAGGCGGAGATTGCAGTGAGTCGAGATTGAGCCATTGAGCTCTGGCCGGGGTGACAGTATGAGACTCTGTCTCAAAAAAAAAAAAAAAAAAAATGCATAAACCAACAAGGCAAAGTGAATATGAGAGGAGATGAGAGACAGGGATTTGGGGGAAGTAGAATGAGGATCATGAATTAGAGCAGCTGAAGAAGATGAGCATTGTGAGCCAGCCAAGGGGATGCTGGCAACGAGCTCCACAGCACAGCACCCCAGGAAGACACAGGAGCTTGGAGCATCAGCTACCAAGGAAGATGAGGTCGAGGAATGAGGTTGAAGCAGGAGGTGGGAAGATTGTTTGAGCCAGGAGTTTGAGACCAGCCTGAACAACATAGGGAGATCCCATCTCTACAAAAATTAGCCAGATGCAGTGGCACACACCTGTGGTCCCAGCTACTTGGGGGGCTGAGGTGGGAGGAGGGAGGGAGGGAGAAAAAAGAGAAGAGAAACCAAGGACTGGGACATGGCAACATTTGAAGTTCAGGGAGAGAAGGAGAAACCCAGCAAAGGGTTCAGGGAGCATCAGTTGGAGAGGTAGGAGGAAAATGAGGAGAGTGTTATGCCCCAGAATTCAAGCAGAGAATGTGTCTCCAAGAGGAGAATGACCAGTTGGTATGTATCCTCTGAGAAGTCAAATAAGATGAGATCTGAGAAATCAGACTTGGCAACGTGGCAGTTGCCAGGGAACCTGAGGGACCATTTCAAGGGAGGGGAAGTGGAGAATGAGTTCAAGAGAGGACAAGAGTAGAGGAATTGGAGCAAGGGTTTAGACCAGCCCTGTCCAATATAAACAGAGTATGAGCGGCCGGGCGCGGTGGCTCAAGCCTGTAATCCCAGCACTTTGGGAGGCCGAGGCGGGTGGATCACTAGGTCAAAAGATCGAGACCATCCTGGTCAACGCGGTGAAACCCCGTCTCTACTAAAACTACAAAAAATTAGCTGGGCATGGTGGCGCATGCCTGTAATCCCAGCTACTCAGGAGGCTGAGGCAGGAGAATTGCCTGAACCTAGGAGGCGGAGGTTGTGGTGAGCCGAGATCGCGCCATTGCACTCCAGCCTGGCTAACAAGAGCGAAACTCCGTCTCAAAACAAACAAAAAAAAAAACAGAGTATGAGCTACGTATGTCATTTTTAATTAAAAATTAAAAGGAACGGGTGAGATTAATTTTATTAATATATTTATTTAACCTAATATATAAAAAACATTGTCATTTCCATTTGTAATTGATATAAAATTTAATATTAAATTTATATTAAATATTAAATTTTTTACATTCTTTTTTATATGATGTCTTTGAAATCTGATGTGTATTTTACCCTTACAATGCATCTCGATTTTGCTGGCCACATCGCAAGTGCTCAAGAGCCACATGTAGCTAGTGGCTGCCATACTGGACAGAAGATAGGTCTTCCAAGGAGTTTTTCTGCAAATGGAAGGGAAACATGAGCTCAAAAGGTGGGAGACAGAGTGGGAGTGAGGCTTTTTGGATTTGGTTTTGTTTTTGTTTTTATGAGAGAAATAATAGGGTGTTTATGTATTGTATTTTGTTGGGGGTTTGTACAAAGAGCTGTGAGATCTCCAACCCTCCCCCTGGCCTATTTTTCTAACCCACACACAACTGTCCCTCCTCTACCCAGCAAGAGAGTAGATAGATATTCTGTATATATTAGTTGCCAGAGGCTGGGAAGGGTGGGGATGGGAAGATGAAGAGAGGTTTATTAATGGGTACAAACAAACAGTTAGATAGAAGGAATATGTTTAGTATTCAATAGCACAGTGGGATGACTATAGTTAACAACCATATATTATATATTTCAAAATAGTTAGATTTGAAATGTTTCCAACACAAGGAAATGATACATGTTCAAGGTGATGGATATTCTAAACACTTGGACTTGATAATTACATATTGTATGCTGGTATCAAAATATATGTACCCCATAAATTGAAAATATTATGTATCAATAAAAAGAAGTGAATGATAAAAGCCAGCAGTTATCAATTTCAACTTGCATAAGAAAGGAAATATTAATATAGTATACTACATGGCTCAGCAGTGAAGCTAAATACTGATTGTGAGACTCTAACCCCACCAAACCCAGATTTCTAACTTACAGAACTGTGAGCTAATAAATACATGTCATTTTAAGCCACTAAATTTGTGGTAATTTGTTACAAAGCAATAGAAGAGCAACACAGCTTCAACAATAAGCATTGATTTAATCAATAAGTTTTCAGGTCAGCTGGATTGTTCTTCCAGTCTTAGTTGGGCTCATTCATGTGTCTCTGGTCAGGTATAGCTTGGATAGGCAGCTCTGCTGATCTGGGCTGGGCTCTGTCACATGTTTTTGGGTCAGCTGGCTACAGGCTAATCTGGATGGCTTCAACTGGAACAACTTGGTTATTATTCACAAGGTCTCTCAGCCTGTAGCAGGCTAGCCCATATTTTTTCATAAGATAGCAGGACAGGGGTCCAAGGCAGTGGGAGCTGCTGGGCCTCTTGATCAACTGGCACAGGATTGCTTTTGCTGCATCCTGTTAGCCAAAGTAAGTCAAAAGTCCTGCCCAGATTCAAGGGGTGGGGTAATAGACTTGACCTCTTGAAAGGGATTTCTGCAAAGTTGCATTGCAATGGGGTTAGCTACAGGGAGGTACAAAAAATGGGGTTACAATCTCCCTTGCTCTCTCGTCCCTGAAAACCACCACTTTTCACCCCAAGTCATCCCACAGATCTATCCTCTGCCCCTCATCCTTTCTGCAATCAATTCACTGATGCCCATGTCCCTTCTTGGTTCTCATCGATTTTAGCTTTTGACTTGTTTCTCTCTTCAGCACTACTTCTGTCTTATTCTGATGACTTCAATATGCCTGGAGATGATCCTTCTGACATCCTGGGCTCTTAGTGCCCAAGTTCCTTTCCTCTATGATCTCCATCCTACCTGGGCCCCCTCCCTCCCATGGTCATCCTCTAGACTTTGTCATTACTAGTAGTCCCTCCATCCTTTCCATTTTATTCATCCCCCTCACTGAACACCATCTTCTCTGCTCCCAACTCATTCCTTCTAGTGCCTTATTTCTAGCTATCTTTTGATCACATAGAGACCTACAATCATTGATGCCATCTTCTCACTGTCCTTAGCCTCTTTCCTCCTGTGTTAAGCTGTTCTTGCATTGCTTGGGTAGTTTATAAGAAAATGG